CGTGGGTAAGCAGCGCGCACATGCATGCTGCAGCCCACTGATCGCATCGGATCAAGCGCTGTTCTGTACGCGCTGAGGGCGCCGGCCCCGGTCAATCGACTGGATTTCCATGTCCACGACAGTACATTCATTGTATAATGATCACAGATGCTCAGACACGTCCACTGACTTAGAAGAGCAGGACCAATCTGCTGAGCAGCAATGTAACGTTACCTGTAGACCTATCTCTTCGCGCTGAGCTTGAAGACAAAAACGAAACTAAACAGTTCAATCTTTGTTCAGTATTTTCAAATTTAATTTCTAAAGGCATACATACGTTGGAAGACGTTACATGTACATGTGTACGTACATGATTGTATGAAGCCAATCACTGGACGATTAGCATAGTGTCATGACTGGCATCCATCAATGGACCTTCCCAGTATGGCAGGGGAATGGTCGGTGGCACCGAGACTGCATAAGCTGTGTGCATCTGTACATGTAAACATTGTATAATTATGAATATTGGTGAATCATTAATGTGGTGTCACTTTACACGACGGAGCACTACTTTTAGCCTTTGGTCCAAACCACATCACGCAAGCGAACACACAAACAACGGATACGTACGGGGGATCTGAACGTCTTTCGTGAATCCCGTGGTACGGGGATGAACATAATATTTTACAGAGTAGATTCTACGGGCAGGCTCAGGGAATACCAGCATCGAAATGCGGCAATGTTTGAATTTGCTGAAAATGGCCCGTTGCGCTCTTACACGTAGACCTACTAGGTAGCATCCTTTGCGCAAACGGAGATTGGTGTTCAGGTGGGGATACGGTCTTGGAGCAGGGGACCTCTAGTCGCATCAACATCCGCATTCGCATCCCATCATCGTGTCGTGATGATATTCTCGAGTGGAAAGACACATCGTGCAAGCGAACCAAAATACAGATCGCTGTGGGCATTGACATCGCGACGTAACGTCCAACAACAACACACACCATATCCACGGACTGATTGCCATAGTGACCGGCTAGGTACGAGTAAGTTACTTCCACTCGGTATTCCTGAATCCTGGTGATGTGTGAGCGCTGTAAAGGAGAACGCGCCGTGGCCTTGTGACGTCATTACTGTACAGGTCAATCACGCTTCACGGTGCACCGGTGCATAGTTCTGCATGGACGTCTATGCACTGCACTGTAGATGTACGCTCGTAGTCGTAGATCTACTGATAGTCTAGGAGTAGGAAGCGATTTCCAGGAATGCAACAAGGCCAAGGCCAAGGGTCTGAAAAGCCGGAAACCCGTTGGCGTCTCACGCCACCAGTAGTGTCACCAGGGATTGCATCCACGTTGGCCCTTCTGTTCCTCCCTGTACTCACGGAGAGACCCTCTCGTTCGTGTACATGTACATGTATAATGGATATGGATATGGTCCCTGTGCTCACGGAGAGACCCTCTCGTTCATGGACATGGATATGGTCCCTGTGACAGTTGTTGGGGCACAGGCACTGATCACCATGTTCCTTTCACGGTACAGAGCTGAAAGACTGTGCATGTGCTCTGATACCAACATTGCATGTAACGAGGATACCACAAAGGCTGAAGAGAACAGAGACAATAGGCTAGGTCTGAGTAGTAGGTCATTGTTGTAACGCTGCGTTTCATGCACATAGCAAAAAAAAGGTGAGCTGGATTCGCGGCCGCATCACCTGACGTGTTGAGGAACACGTCAAGCAAATACATTCACATCGGCGGGCCACCACTTCGCCCATGTATCCTTAGTGTCGAATGCAGACCTCACAAGTGAGTCAGGGAAGAGAGAATAAGTCTCTCAACAAGCGGGCGTGTAAAGGCCCCATAACCCCATAAACCGCATCCTTGAGCCGCGAGTAAGGCAATCCTCAGACTGTAGATGTTCTACACAGTGTTTCGTTCTGTGTAGTCCAGTGTATCCATAATACATGTATGTCTATTGTGTGTTCGCTGTATCCATTGTATCAGACGGGGGAAACTGGGTAGAGTTGATGGGCTATGGTGCGGCATTAGTACAGCTTCGGGATAACAAAACAATTCATCGTTACGTAACGTGTACCAAGTGAAGTTCATCCACCGTCCGTAGAGGGCTCCCCGTGCCGAAAGAGTTGAATCATAATATTATCTTCCTTATTGGCCATGGGCCATCGTGGAAATAAAGAATAATAAAAGAAAGCAAAGAGCGGAATACACAGACAGAAGAATTAGCAGTTGTTTTTCGTATTAAACTCTGAGTTTCACGAACTGAATGTTCTGTTTGTGTACGTAACATGTACATGTACATTGTACATGTTACAAAGTCATGTACATGTACAATGTACGTGTATATTGTTCTATAGCACGACTATTGTACTATAACAGTGTACATTGTAGCTAATAGCTAGTAATAGACAATTCAAACATGTGCCATGAGCATACACTGTACATGTGCACTGTCTAAAACGTCATGTACAGGCTGGTACAGGTAAATGTAAATGTACATGTACATACACACACAAAATCGCTCTATTGACACTGCAAAATCGCTCTGTTGACGCTACAAAATTGCTTATCATCTCCCCCCCTCCCTCCCCCCCCCTCTCTCTCTCTCTCTCTCTCTCTCTCCCCGTAGCTCTCTCCCTTTTGAAATTCGCTTCCATAGAATTGGGCACCATTGCCCGTTTGGCCTTGCGAAGCAAAATAAAAATCAACAACAACAACAACAACATGTAATTTGTATACGCGTGAGATCGTCCCTTTTCCACTGGCCGATATGTCCGTTATGTAACATCGCTTGTGAACGGATCGCCCTCTGCGATCTGTGGGTGTTTACCTCCAAGAACAGCTCTGGCTGCATACGGCGGCATGGACATCATTCAAAGTTGTATTGTGAAGGCAAAGAAACCCAGTGAACGTTCACCTGTACAGTGTACATAAGAACATAATGCTGTGTGTTCAGCAAGGGAAATACAATGTATCCACCATTCGCAACGACAAGTGGAAATTACATGTACAATAATGATGTGCCACAAGTACCCACTAATGTATCGCTGATCGCATCGCATCATGACAATACGATACCTATTGTAGTTCAGGAGGTCACATCAGAAGTTCGTATCCAGGGATTATCCTCACGTGATCATATCCAAAGAGGATTTTCGAAGCAGCAGAAGACGCTGTGCTGTGCAAATTCTACCGTCAAAATTCGGTAAATTATTGCTGACTGTTGCGCAGCAGGGCTGCAGCGTAGAGCGAGTGGCACGTGTATTGATCATTTGCTATCCAGCTGCGCAGAGGAAAGCGAACATGAACACACCGTCATCATGGAATACAGTCTCATGTACATGTACATATACCAGTGGTTTAATTCAACAGAATAATCTATCATTGTCTGTCATTTACGTAACGGTGTGTACATGCAGCATGTACAATGTATATGCTCCATGTAACTTTTAAAAACACTGCGAGTTGCAGAACAGGGAGAAGTCACGGGCTTTTCGTATTCTTCACGGGACTCACACTTACATGTACATGTATATCTTGGAGTCTTGTGAAACGACTCAAATGAGCTCTCACACTTGCATCCATAACGACGTGTCCGCGAACGTGTATATGTAACGTTACGTGTGTGTACATGTACGTGTGTGTGCGTGCGTACGTGTGTGTGTGTGTATGTGTGTGTGCGTGTGTGTGAAACTGTAACAGAGAGCCCAAGGGAGACCATTATCATTGAGAATGCATACACGTGCAATGCAGTGCTGGAATACATGCAAAATGTATATGTACATGTTCAATACATGTTAGCTTTTTCATCATCAGAATGTGACGAAATCAATTGACGAACAGTCCCGAAGGCACTGGGCAGATCCCTTGTAGACTTTTGATATCGACCCCTTCTGCAGTCATTATGGTGCGACTGTGCATTTACATTGTGCAATCATGGTATTGCCAACAACATGATGATTGTACAATCATGTATGTTTAGTATTTGCTCCCCATACATTTTCTACATCGTACGACAATTTACTCTGCTTGCCCAAATAATGGGGAAACATGCCCGAGCAGGCAGTGGCATGTCCGTACATGTACATGTGCATGTGGTGTCACACTTGCCAAGCAACACCTAGGGTCCCCTGTAAGAAGGCAATAGCCTGTTTGGATCACCCAAGTAAAATAAAGAAAACATACTACTGCTACTACTGCTACTACTAGATGTGCTATGTGGCAGACATTTACAGTTGAAGCAATTGTAGGGAGTCTGGAATGCGATGTGGCGTGCGTGCATGGTGACCCTTTTCATAGATGCACGTCATCGTGCAGCATATTTGTACTTGTAATACAATGTACATGGTTGTAGTAGTAACTGCAACCAACTGCTATGCCTTGGCACCATAAACGGAGTGCTGCTGTGCACGTCCGCTATGGTTCCGGTAGCTGTATGTAGGTGGACATTGTCATTCAGTAAGTCCTGTGTACATGTTCAGGCTTGTACATTGTGATGGGTACGAAGTGTCGCTCGCTCCCACAGTAATCAGCCTAATAGCCTACTGTACACAGCATCACATCGTGCATGTCTGTCGGTGGCAGTGTAGCAACGGTAGCGACTCCAGGTAGACCCCCGGTGTTCGGACCAGCCCTGATCCGCCGGAGCCAATCATGCACTATAAAAGCGCTGGCAGCTAGCTCAGAAGAACTCAGACAATACTCCTGCCCCGCCTTACACAACAGTCTTGGGTCTGCCAAAGTGGCACAGTGTTATGCTTACACGTACATTACCTATACCGGCATCCATAGAAAGATTGACACTTTTTTGGCTTTTAACGTTTCAGCTCAGGGCTGTTTTTTAGTTTGCGAATGTGTTGCATCAACAACTAGTAACCGTGATAACATTACCCCAGTGTCGACACACTCGACGCTACCCAGCTGCAAGCAGCGTAGAAACTTACACCTCGCTAACCCAGTAGCCCATCTCCTCCTGTGCGTATAATGTGTGCGCTATTGCAGTACTTCCCTGATACATATGCCGACCGCGAAGTTCTGCCGCTGCACGTACGCTGCGCCGCTTCACAACAAGGATGCCAGTGGCAGGGACCCTTGAAGCAATACGAGGTGAGAGATCTTAATTTGTTTTTACAGGCTGTTCAGGATGGTATGCAGGCAATGACTATGTGCGTATTCTTGGTCTTACCTGCTTTAGCGTCTGTTGGCTTGTGTGAATGTGAGATGTGAGTACAATCAAAAGTACATAACCCCCGGGAGTTATGTACTCTTGGTACAATGTACATGTACATGTGTCATGTTGTTAATGTGGGTATACATGTAAGTGTGCTTGCGCATTCCAATAATAATGATAATAATAATAACTTTATTAGGATTACCCAAAGGCTGACCGCCTATCGTGGGGTCCGTCACATTGAACTTGAAGAATGATGGTACAAGAGAGTACAGATTGGGAAAGGGGGACTAGAGGCATCCATTGCGCAATTCTTTGATCCTCTTTACATAAAGATATCTTCTCGCGTATTCTGCCAACTCAAAGAAGGTGAAAGGAATATCTATAATGCACAGTCTGTTTAATGGGACGAGCCACTATCGGCTTGTAACGTAACTAGTGCAGATGCTGGAGGCGCTGTTGATGTATTTTGTCCACGAAATGCATGCACTCTCTGGAAAGTACACTGAAGACACCAATGGTGGCCTTTCAGCGCATTACAAGCAGCTGCCAACTCCAATGGAGATCGTGGAGTGGTTGTGGCAAACCAGGCTACATGTATGTATCGACATATTCCGCAGGAGTGGTCACTGGTGCACGAACAATCCGTTGCTCCATGGTGGTGACACGAGGAAGTCCCAAAGTCTCAGGCTATTTGCAACATTCAATGCGTGAGCGGAGGCGGAATAAATTTTGCCACTGTAACGTCATGAGGATACTGTGCAGCTCACGCTGTCCGCATTTTCACTCCATTTTCTCTTTCCCTCGACCTCGTTGCCTATTCAAGTGCTTCAACTACCTCAAGCGGCATACTTCACGCACCCCGGGCAGGGGTCCAGGCACCGCTGTCAGGGGTTTTCAGGGCTTTTCCCCGCTCAGCTTGAGCTGAGTGCTGGCCGGTTTGTGCTACATAATGACATTGTGTTTGAATTGCCTCTTGAGTCTTAGTCGTAATTAATCGTATTGACGTGAAATGGGGCCACTGTTGTTTTGACGGGTGTTTTCTCTCAGCTGGTCGCATATCAGGCAGATCCAATCATCATCAGTCATGCGATTATTTGCTCGTAGTCGTAGTGCTCTAGTGACTTCGGATTTGTCATGTCCTCCCCCGTTGTCTAACCCACTTCATTACTAACGCTGCAGTCATGCTGCACACTAGTGCTCCACCCATGTACATCCTACAGGAGTTTTTGGCCCTGCACAAGTGGATTTGCAGCATCATAAGTGCGCCGGATCCCCCCGCTTCCCGCGGGAAAAACCCGTGTCCTGGGCGGCCATGACACCACACCTTACGTGTGCAGCTGCTGGCAGACAAGGGCAAGTAGCTACAGAGTACAGTGTAGTTCAGATTGGCTGCATGGAGCCCAGTCTGTAGACACAGGATCGAATACTACATACTACAGACTACAGTGGAATGTTAGCTCTGTGGATAGTGAATCTGCAATTGCGTGATTTGATCACGCGTGGCAGGAGACGGTGCCACGGCTGAATAGCAGATCATCCTGTTGTCCTTGAAACACTGCACGTCGTTTATAGGTGACTGGTGAACTATGCAAAATAGGTTGATAGATCATTAATGAGCGAATTCAAAGATCAACACCATAGACATAGAGCTACATTCTATTGGAATCGGTGTTTAGATTGGGCTTGGGGCTTGGGGCTAGAGCAATGATAATAACTGGATAATGGCACAGGTCAGAACTGATGCAAAGCTGCATCGTAGATCGTATAAAGGAGCAAGATTATCCTGTGGAGTGTCAGTATTAGGGTAGAGGATCCGGATCGCGATTTCAGCTCATGCGACTTGGTAGATACATGGGTGGATTGCATCTCTGCAGGCGTCCATGTTAGTAGCGTACTACCTACCGTATTAGTGTTCCTGTGCTTTGTGTACAATTGTGCGTGTGCGTGCGTAACGTTATGTATGCGTGTGTGTGTGTGTGCGCGTGTGTGTATGTGTGTATGTGATGTGGTGTATGTGTGTGTGTGTGTGTTTTCTGGGTGGTGGTTGATGTAGTCATGTACAGTTTTCCATTGTGGACAGTTAAAGACAATTCTCTCAACTTTAAAGACAATTCTCTCAACTTTAAGTTAAAGACAATTCTCTTAATTAACTCGTGAACGTACTAGTGTGTTGTAGCTATGAATACAGACGTCACGTGGTCTTGCACATGCAAACACCAATCCACTGTAGATAGGCTGCATATGCATGCCTTTACATGAACAATGTAAATGTACATATAGCTGCATGTGTCTGCCGCTGCTGGGAACTGGCACAATTTTATTTTATCTATTTCTGCACCTCGTAGCATGTCAAGCCAGCTTTGTCCAGCATACTTGCAACAGTGGAACAGTGGCCTATAGTAGGTGGTTATTCCAATCATCAAGCCTGAATCAAGCTTGTCTTGCTTGGCACGACTCTAGAAGGTCTTCTAAACCTGAACCTCATCTTGCTTGGCACAAGTCTACAAGGTGTTCTAAGCCGAATTTGGTGTTGCTTGGCACAACCCTACAATATGTTCTAAGCCGAATCTTGTGTCGCTTGGCACAACTCTACAAGATGTTCTGTTTGTCGTGCTCTGACCCGCTGTAGGATCACCAGCTGGATTGTCCATATCGACTAGTGGAGTGTCCAAATAAGGGTTGCAAAGCCATGACCCCGCGTCACAAGCTGGAGAATCATCGGAATACGGTATGCGTCGGTAGGGAGATCCCATGTGAGACGTGTGGCGAGATGGTCACCCTGGTCGAGCTGGATCGTCACGTGACTGAGGAGTGTCGCAAGGCATTGGTCGCGTGTAGGAACGGGTGCGGCGCAGCTGACCTCCTGCGATCTGAGGTAAGCCTGCAGTATGATGTTGTTCCTTCCTCAGTTCCTGCTAGTCGCGCAATGTGGACTGAGTGGTGCTCAGACGTGTGTGTATTGCCCTGGACTGTTCGTGTGTGGGCAGATACGTGTAGAGTGTGCTAGGTTGGTGCAAAGGGAGACAGACTCAGAGTGTGCACTGTTCCGTAGCAAGGGAGAAATCACCAGAACAAAAGAACAAAAGACCAAAAGAACAAAAGAGGGGTTTCTGGCCCAGTGGTGGAACACATCATGCCCAGTGCTCACGAGACATGCATGCAATCAGACTGTTGATTGCACAAGGATAAAATAATGATTACAATAATGACGCAGCGTTATTATCACTGAATGGATCAAAACCAGTGCCAGTGGTGCGTCCGGTAAACTGTTTAAAACACTGTCTCATGATGCCGCTGATCCGAAGAGCACAGAACGCTTACCACATCCCTGCAGGACGGTCACATGACCACGTGCGCCACGTGATATGTTCATATAGCGTCTATGTGACCTCATACGGGCAGAGAAATTGTTTGTTTGTATGCTTTATTTGAATTCGCGAAAATTGAAATTGAATATGAACGGGCGACCGCCGCCTTTCATCCTCCACCTGTGCGTTACCTGCAGTAGCGTCCGCAGGATTAAAAAACGCCGCCACAGGGCGGCACAGATGGACTACACGTGAACAACAGAGTGGGTCCTTTATTGTGGTTTTACTGGGACGCTGGAGGTGATGTCATGCCTCCCCGCGCCCTCACCAGAGTCACCAGACTCACCACCACTGCAGTCTGGTTCTCATTTATTTCCAAGAAAAGGTGAAATATGAGTGCATCACGCATGACAGACACACACGCACGCACACGCACATGCGCACACACACACACACACGCACATACACGCAGTGACACGTACTCACACATACACACGCACACAGGCACGGTCTTGTACTTGTACCAAAAGGTCACGAAGCTCCGATGTAAGAAAGGAGTAAGCTAGGATGAACATCTCCCACAGGCATTGAGTCTTCAGAAACCTTGGCAGCATCCCAAACAGCAGCAGCAGCAAAGCAGTGGGAAAAAAACTGATTCACCGTTGCCAAAGGTTCATGAACACCGATACCTCACATTTTGATTGTATCTTCCCTGATCCACTGGAGTAAGTTCGCTGAGAAGAACAGCTACGACAATGTGTAATGACACATGCGTGCATCTGTTCCACCTCCTACGACTTTCCCACCACCGGACGCTCTGCATTCAATCTTTAAAGCAGCTGTGCACCGTGACTGCGCGTTGAATATACCTGGAGGACCTGACACTCGCTCCTCCAACTAACCTTACACGTCCACTGTGTACAGTACACAGGATTACTACAGAATTGTAGAAACCGCCTTTGGAACTAACTCCCAACTGCCACAACGTCACGTACGTGGCTACGGATGTGGCATCATTGGTCATCAGGACTCATCACCTCGTCTCCTACCAATGCTGCTCCCATACTGTAGCAGAGGTGACTCCGCAACACTGCCGGCTGAGGTGACTGCCTCGTGATCAAGACGAACCCTGCTATTAGTACGCATAAACTACTAGTGGGGCCAGGCCTATAGAGTACACAATACAATCATGTAAATCTGTGTGGAAGCGAATCACACAAAATATACAGAGCTCCAAGGGATTTTATAACCGCAATCAGACTCCAATTACTATTCCTATCTACTTCAAGCGGGAAAAGACCCCAATGAGACTGCGCACTCGTCAGCAGCACACCACACTGTCTAGAATGATGTGCTTCAAAAATAGAAAAAAACGGAGACAGAATTGGGAATGAGAGTTGCAGTCAGTGAATCGCTGAATGTGTGCATCACGCGTCACCCGCTTTGCATGCAAAGACAGCTGGTTGGCATATGCCACCCAGTTGAATTGTATGTATGCACAGTTGTACTGTACAAGGTCGGAACGAGTGTGCATAGCCCCCGTACGCATGCTATACATGTACATGTACATGTATTTAGCAATAGCTAGCCGTGACGACAATTGTTCAGGACACCAGTTTCATGGAAATGCAGTGCAACTGTTGAAGAATGAATTCGGGGGGTGACAGCTCACTTCCTGGATGTGTCTCCGCATTTTTCCAGTACATCGAAATGTGGTTAGACAGGTGTCCAAGATCCTGCACGGGGCTGATAAATGTGGTTTATGTAAATCGTGTCTGTGGTGCCTCCTTTTACACCATGGCCGTTAGCTCAGCTTACTTATAAAGCTCGTAGCTGTACTGGTGAGGCCTATGATGGCCGAAACAGCTGGCTGTTTACAGCATTGGGTTACGAAAATGCATGTATGTATGTACTTTTACACAAGAGATATTGGAAGCTAGCTGTGTCGCAACTCTGAGTTCTCTGAACTCTGTATGTACGTTTATGTTCATCAGTTCAAATAGTCAAAATACGTTTCTCCAATGCACGAAGAGTGCGGATTGCCCATGTAGGGCAAAGACTTCCTCTCTCTCTCTATTGGGTCCGAGTATTCATCACGGTTCATTGATCTTGTCTATTGCTGTCTGCAGCTAGCGTCTCACGAGAAGACGTGTCCTAATGTCAAGGTTAGATGCTACTATTCAACAGCCGGCTGCGAGTTCTTCGTAAGTTCTGCAGTATACTGGTGAATGCCTTTTGAATGCCGTAACAGTGGCATTCGGCGGATTGTCTGCTTACTACTTACTTCTATTTTTGTTTCCGACGAAGGGATTAAGCAGTTAAGACGTGCGACACATCCTAGTCAAATACACCCAGCACTGGTATCATAAAGGAGAGTAGATTTAGGTAGCTGCTCCAAACGTTACAGCGAGTGCTTCCTGCCGACTGAATGACACGTGACTGACTCGCACATCTCAGTTCATAAAGGAACATGGATTGTCCAACTAAACACAATAGTACTATTGCAGATTATCGGGCAGATCATGTCCGCCTGGGGGGAATTAGACCGTCCACTGCAAATCCATCATCAGACACCAACCAATGTCTTGACTGCCTTTAAGATCTTTAGACTGAAACGATGTTTGCTTCAGACAGAAGTGATCACTAAGCTACGTGCGCCGGAGGAGAGAAAGATGTGAATGGGATCCAATCGTGAGATGAGAGACAGGGGTTGTGGGATTGGGGAGTACCTGCATGGTTAGGGGTTGTGGGGGGGGGGGGGTGGAGTACTGATGATTTCCGGAGAAAGTGTCTATTTCCAAATCACATACCGCGTTAGCTAGTTGTGAGTTGCACCTGATTCTTTCCCTACTGACGTGGCTGCTGCTAGACAATGTAGCTGGATTACGAGACGATGTACAGTCATGCTCCATGAAATTCGATCGCGTTGAATCTGCGTGGGGTGTTATGCAGCAACAGACCTGTGAACACTGGAATTTGAATTGATGCATGGCACAAACTACATGTACGTGTACTATACAGTATACAACATCTGCAGACTCACTCTGGCTGCTGCTAAACAATGTAGCTGGATTACGAGATGATATACAGTCATGCTCCATGAAATTCGATCGCGTTGAATCTGTGCGGTGTATTATGTAGCAACAGACCTGTGAGTGTGAACACTGGGATACGAATTGATGCATGGCACAAACTACATGTACGTGTACGTGTACGTGTACGTGTACGTGTACGTGTACGTGTACGTGTACTATACAACATCTGCAGACTCACTGGGTCTGATTTCATTGAGCAGTAGTTTTCACATCCTCAGACAATGATCATCACATCAGCGCATGTCACATTGTGCTACCGTTTAGCTAGCTTTTCTGTCACGCCCAGTGTACAATAGGGCTTGAAAGTGCTACGTCACAGCATAGCAACAATTTCAAAAATTCAAAAATTGGATCCACTTGGATCCAGTTTTTGTATGGATCCAAGCACATTTCAAGCCGTCTTACTCTCAGCAAGGTGATGTAACCAGTGAAACTGACTGATTTGGCTACTGAGGGCGGGGTTACGACTGGTGGCGAAATAAAAGTCACACCTGCATGCGACATGAGTGGGTTGCTATGCACCCACATACTTAGGCAATAGCAAAGTCACACCTTAGTGGATCCAAAAGTAGAAATCTGGTGTCAACTTACTACTCCCTGGCCGTTTTGACGTCATCACTTTCAAGCCCTATTAGGACATGATCATCACGTCAGTGCATGCTGTGTGCTCATCACCATCTGTACAGGGTAACCGTGGCGACCTGCCCGCTCACCATGGCAACAACGTAGCGTACCACATGCAGATCATACATCAGATATCGGAGGCCACCCGTCAGAACCTGAATGAGGTAAAACTGGACTATAATAAACTGCGGCAGGAAATGAAACTGGTAAAAGAGGACAACGGGAAGTTGAACGCAAGGATAAACAAGCTGAACGAGGACAATGAAACGTTGTCGAATCAAGTTACAACTTTGCAGAGATCAAGCAGCGACCAACGAAAGGAGTTAGACAATGCAAAAAGGACCAACAAAGAAGTTTCAACGAAGCTGGACAAAGTTGCAACAAGTGTTGAACGTCTGAGTCAGGATTTCGAGTGTGCAGGTACGGTGTGTAAATTATTGCTGGCATTTCATCTATGAGCTGACTATCCTGACGTTCCCCCTCCCGACCCCCCCCCCCCCCTTCTCTCTCTTTTATCGTATTCTCTCTCCGTCATGTCCCTGTCTGTCTGTCGCCTTCTTTCTGTCTATTTTGTCTCTCTCCCTGTCTGTCTATATACATGTATGTACGAGCCGTATGTCTGTATGAGTTTTGTACATGACTGTATGCACCTGGTATAATATTATAATGTATGTGTGTTTCTCCCCCCCCCCCCTCTCTCTCTCTCTCTGGCCGCGAGTCTTTCTTTCTCTGTCGGTCTGTTTCTGCGTGTTGGTATTTCGTGTGTGTATATATCAGTGTGCGTGTGTGTGTGTGTGTGTGTGTGTGTCTGTCTTTCTCTCTCTCTCTATCTAACTATCTATCTATCTGTTTCTCTCTCTCAATCTGTTTCTCTCTCTCTCTTTCTATCTAACTATCTATCTATCTCTTTCTCTCTCTCTCTCCATCTCTGGCTGTCTATCTGTCTCACCTATTCCTCTCCCCCATGCTTTGCAGCATCTTCTCAGTATATCGTGGTCGTGTGAAACCTTACTCAAGTACTACCATCATACTATTCATAGTTAAACGAAAGAATCATTCCCACACTACTGTTACGTCTCTCATCCCCCCCCCCCCATCCTTTGCTGATCCCCCCCCCCCCCCCATCCTTTGCTGATCCTCCCCCCCCCCCATCCTTTGCTGATCCCCCCCCCCCCCCATCCTTCTCTCATCCCCCCCCCCCTAATTCTCTCAATAACCACATATCCCTCGGTCTCATCCTTATTTCTTTGTATGCATTCCTGCCGTAGGTGACATACAACATTTTTCGGGACGCACGCAGCAGCAGATAGCGTTCCCTATGGCCTCAAGTGGCACGCAAGCTATCAATCACTGTACGAGTTCCTCATCGTCCAATAACCTCTCCAATGGGTTCTGCAGCCAACCCTGTATCGGAACAACCCCAACCACCGGCTCCACCACATTTCGTCAGGGTCGAAGCTCCAGTATGGACACAGCGCTGACAGGCAACGGCATGACGTCATCGCGTCACCCTCCGCCCGCCCTGCTTCCCGCAGTGGAACACGAACTCAACGAGCTACGACAGACGGCTGTGTCGCTAGGGAAACGCGTTGATGCCCTTGATAGGTACGATAAGTAACCTAGATAATTATGATGTACACAGAGGCTGTGCGCCTTAGCCTGCAATATTGCTCAATTGCCCGGAATGGGCAGAGCGTGGTACGCAAGAGGTACACAAAAGGAAGTGAATAGGGCTGTTTTTTTGTTGTAACTCAGAGTTTCATGGCAAAACCAATCCAATGGGGAACCAATGTTGTCTGATGATTGGTTTTTGCCATAAAACTCTGAGTTACAACAAAACACAGCCCTATTCACTTCCTTTTGTGCACCTCTTGCATAGATATCATGTATCATACACTACATACACTACATACACTACATGCAAACAAGCTAGAGGAGTAACAGCATACTCATATTCACCTAGGAATGCTACTTCGTCAACGATAGAATTATTTATATTTCTCAAGACAACATCTCCTGGCACGTCAAAAGACGGCCAAGTACTAGTAATCAGTTGCGATGAAGGATGAGAGCCAACCATGGCGTAATGGAATGCACAAAGAGGGAGGACAGAGAGAGAGAAGAGAGAAAGAAAAAAACCGCACTTTTAAAAATGCTACACGAAAACCAGTGGTTGGATCAAAGCTGGCCCCAAGCGAAGGTCCACGGTTCGAGTCTTGGTGGTGACAGTCAACATTTTCTTCAGACTTTTCCCTTTGCCATTCCATCAACCAGTGAGCACTTAAAGAACATTGATAATAGTGCATCAGCTATCTACATGTATATCTATGAGGGAGAGCTGATTGACAAACTCATTGATAGCGGTGCAAGCCTTGGTATGAGCAGTGTATGGTGAAAGAATTCGGAGGTAGTCCACTGGTGATCCAGGGACAGACGGGTTGAATAGTACGGTATATCCTCTTCCTCTTCAATCCTCCATTTCCTGTAAGTGCACCCTAGCCAGGGGAGTGTATGAACAAGGTGCTGCTGCAGTGTGTGTAACACAAAGCAGTACTGTGGAGGAACAGGTACCAGAGTGCTTTCCGATGTGCATCCATACAACTCCTTGTACAGCTCCTTATACAGTTGCCCAATGGCAAGCTTTGAGGTTTCGCTACCACATCATGTGGAGGACCCTTTGATTGTTGAATTTGCACAAGAAATGCTGGAGTTACGAACGTTTTAGGAATCGATCATGAATCAATCATAATTATAATCTTTGAATCGATCATGTATGATCGATCAAAGGAACCCCATACAAGAAGGGCTAATAGTTGGTTTCATAAGCTGCAACATTCATTCTTTTGTATTCTTCTCAATGCGCTATGCAGGACGACCACAGTGCAAGACATCCAGCTGTCTGACTTGTCCATTCGCCAAGACCTACTGGAAGTGAAAGGTTCCAGCGGTGTTCTTGTCTGGAGGATTGCCGACATCGAGCGTCGTCGCCTGGAGGCCGTCAACGGTCGGACCATGTCGCTCTATTCACCACCGTTCTTCACGTCACAATCCGGTTACAAGATGTGCGCAAGACTCTATCTGAACGGAGACGGAGCGGGTAAGACCACGCACGTCAGCCTGTTCTTCGTCATCATGCGCGGCGACTTTGACGCGCTGCTCCCCTGGCCGTTCCAGCAGAAAGTTCGACTATCGCTCATCGACCAAACCCCACTGCTGGCTAGCACGCAAGGAAAGAGAGACATCGTGGAGGTGTTCAAGCCCAACATGAGCTCATCCTCTTTCCAGCGCCCGACCTCGGAGATGAACATCGCCACCGGCTGTCCTCTGTTCGCGCCTAAAGCTGTACTGACCTCGGATCGCTACGTTCGGGATGACACAATCTTCCTGAAAATTGAAGTCGGTTGCCTGGGATCCCGAGCACCGGACTATGTTGCCTCATCCAGCAGCTCGTAATGATGGCCTGGCAATACATTATGATCACGAGTCATTGTGATGCCTGGGTGGTGTGATGACCAGTCGTCGAGATGTGGATGACCAGACATTGTGATGGCAAGTCATCAAGCAAGCAAACAAGAAGGCACGGCGTTGTGATCAGTGCTATGTGAACAGTGTATGTCCCCTATCCTCTCACAGCACACAGAGGCGTGTCAGCAAGCCACCAACACCATATTCACGTACATGTACATGTACATGTATGTGTCCAGCAGTGGTATGTGCACCACAGTGGCGACATGATGCCTCCGACGAATGATGCTGCAGAGCTCGTCATAGCACAACACCGTGCTAGTATTTGGCTTCGCGTAGCCCCCTACCAGTAACCATCATGACATTTGCCCTAGCTGCCTCACCACCAATGTACTTGATAATGCCCGTACTTCGCAGTACAGCACATCGTTATCATTACATCATCATTACGTCATTACTACGTCATCACTACGTCATTACTACGTCATCACTACGTCATAGACATCGCCAGCGTGTGTATGCTCTGCATAAGGTCATTAGATGCACATCAATAGGATGACTGGATTGAGGTCTGGATGTCGAGCTTCGTCTACGATGTGCCACTGGAATAATCCCACGGTCACCAGTCGTCTTCCATATTCAATCTCCGGTATCCGGCTGTAGTGGTATGGTTGAGGATGACTTTAGCTCGGGTCTACATGACCAAGGCACGCTGGATACTGACTGTGACATCCCCCTATGCCTATGGTGCCTGGCTATGGGTCACGAATACATGCACACTCACATCAGACTTTGATGTGATTTTAGAACTAATCGACGATGTCTTCGCCGCCCGAAACTCTGCCTGCGAGGGCCTTGAATGTTGAGAAGGTGTACATACCTGTACAATGTCATGCACCATAGCGACGGTATGAAGGTGCATCGCCATTGCTTGACCTGTGATAAATACAAGTACAGATCAACTTTACGGCTGTATGTATGACATCATCAGTAGTATCAGTGAGAAAGGTATTACTATTAGTTCTGACCGGCGCTGTACATATCACGTGACGGTGAACTAGCAAAACACCACAATGATGGAATTCCCACATTCGTATAATGTACTAACACTACATGTACTTCAGTAGTAATAGTCTAATACTGTATGCCTACTGCCAGAAGACTTGATCGTGTACAAAACACAATGCCATATGCATCATGTACTGTGCACATGTGCCTTCTACATGTACATATCCATACAGTGTATGCTGATCATCGTTCTAATCAATATGCTGAGATATAATGTTCACCTCCTTACAACCCAGTAACGAATACTGGGGTTTTTTTTTCTTGACCTCTCCCATGATGCATGTACACTGTACATGTACATGTATGTCAAGGACGACTGTTGCTTGTAGCTAAGTTGATATTATAATTATAGAGATCGCAGAAGCATCGCTGGATTGAACTGATTTTAGTGTGCATAAACTCCAATGCAGCAGCCAATTCACTTGGTTCATTACTTTCCAAAAATATTTCTCACAGGCCAAAATTCAGAGCAGTTTGTTCAACTGATATATTTTTATATTGAACTAGCCAAATGTATCCGCACTATTTCAGTAACTTATTTCTAAGCTTGAAGGATTCTACTTGTCAAATGCTGCTATTAGAGATATCACTGACTAATGATTTTTTATCAAGGATGCACCTAACCAAAACAATTTTTATAACGAGATGTTCCATTGTTGTTTTAAATTATTTTTCTAACGGAATTAGGTGTAGCAACATTAGTTCGGCAACAGGTTTTTATTGGACCGGCTTCTGTGTGTGTGGCCCAGTGTGTGCGTGCGTGTGTACGTGCCGTATGCGTGCGTGTGTGTGTGTGTGTGTGTGCACGTACGTGCGTGTCTGTACGTTTCCCAGTACTGGACTGTCGATCAGCTGCTAGCTACATGTGCATGCACTTGTCATCTGCAGCTACACATACATGTAATTATTATTCGGATGACTGCTAGAGCCTAGGCCCTAGTAGAGGTCAGTCAAACTATTGGGGTCTCCTGTGGTCAGCAGAGGACATTTTTTCATTGGAGCAAGTATCACTGGAGCGAATCGTGCACTTTTCCACTACCATAATGGTCCATTAACCTGTATCCTGATATCTGCATAACCTGCAGTCCCGCAAGAAAGGCATGATTGTTCAACTGCTCGCTGTGACCCTGTGCCCACAAGGCAGGACTAGGCAAATACCAAGGTCAGGAGAACTAGCACAAGCCAGCGCAGCGTAGAGAACTAAACAGGGTATAGTCAACTTCGCTTATAACGACACTCGGCGGGGCATCAGAAAAGTGTCCTTATTCGAGAAGTGTCCTTATACCCGAAGTCTCATTATAATTATTATGTACATGACTTTTGATTGTATTAAAAGTCAGATGGGACTTTGCTCTGGGCATGGAAATTCTGTCGTCATTCGCGAATTGTCGTTATATCCGCAGTCGTTATTAGCGAAGTTGACTGTACATGAAGTATCCGTGTACAGGAAAACGGATTGACAGAGGGACAGGAGGGAATAGTAAGATTGGTTCCTGCAGCATGTGATATCGCTAATCTGCAGCAGAATGCAATGTACATGATTGTACTTCTATTGTTAGATTGACAGCATGAAACAAGGACGTGGAGGACACTGTGTTCAATCTAACAATATGCGTGAACTATAATAAGTATAACAAGGTTGATCTAATACTAGTTCTGAACTAGTATTCGGTTATAATTATGATTGTACGTGTACCATCGGCTGGCACGTACACGGAAGTGCTTTTGTACCTTGCTGTTGAACTTTGTAGAGACTTGCGAAGTTGAGATCGGGTACCGGTATATTGACGATAGCCAAGCGGATCAGCGGCGCCTTGACTTGGTTGTTGTTGACTTTTAAAGCCGCCACACAAACAGGCGATGGCGCCTCTTTTTATACTTGTGAGGGACATGACAAATTTAGTAATGGGGAGGGGAGGAAAAAGTCGCAAGTGAAAGAAGTCACCGAAGGTAACTGAATATAACATAGTTTAAAAAGATAGAGCTGCGGAAAAGAAACCTGTTGAAAACCCGAAAACATTTAAAAGTGTAACTGACAGTTGAGAATCTCATCTGTCTGATGTCGAAGCAGTGCACTTTCTAACATCCTTGCAGAACATTCTGTACCAAGAGGATACACAGAGGTTCCAAGAGGATAGGATTTGATCAGATGAAATCTTACACAGAAAAGATGGGCCATCGGTGAACAGATAAAAAAGTGACCTACATTGAATACTTCGACGCTTTCGAGAGAGCACAGAAATGGGCGTGACAATGGATCACAGCGCATCATGGGCGCGTTATCTTGTTCTATAGAATGGCACCAATGACTTGGAGTGTACCTCTGCCAGAAGGGCCGAGCTAGAAGGGTACCTGCAATAAGTTTTTGGTAAGCTCCACGGGTGCGATCACTCTGTGCTCAGAATAAATTATCCAGACACAAGGAATGAGACAATAAAACTTCAAAGGAAAGTGTGATGTGCAATTACTGCTGAGGTGTAGGAATGCCAGTGGTTCTATGGGCATACTCGTGTGTATATAGACGTAAACTCTTCTTAAATTCCTGAAGCGATCATCTTCGGTGGTAAACAGTTCCAAAGTACAGAAGTTCTAAATAGGAAGATAGACTTTGATAACGATTTTTTATTTAGGTAAAATGATTTTGTTAGGCCGCCGAGCACTTTTAGAAACATTGAAACTAAATTGTGAGAGGTAACTAGGGTGGTGGAAGATAAACTTACGCAGTGTAACTAAACACATGAATGATCCTCTGATGAAGCATTCTAATTGCAGAAACCGGTCAGGTATCCATTAAAATGTAAATGTATGAATTATAACTAAAATTACTGTGCTCTTGTTGTGTCGGGAGTTCAATGCATCTTCCCTTGAGAGACTCGAGCACCACTAGCTTATTTACGTACTGGATCTTCTTCTTTTTGAGGTATGACCGTACAAAACGCGCTTAGATTTTCTCCACGGTTTCTGTGTGCTTTGCTGTGAGACGACACGACCATACGGCTGCAGCATATTCCACCACCGGTCTCACGTAGCCTTTGTACAAGTTAATTAATTACTATTAGTATTAATAAGTGCTTTTGTTGTTAGACGATTAGACATAATGACATAGCAGACTCGCATGTTTTCGGAACTTCGAGAGCACAGATTCGAAATGATTCTGAAATGATAGCCTTGAGTCAAACAGGACGCCGACACAACCTGTAATGGTGCGCCGTCTAGGAAGTATGTAGGACCGGTTCTAGTGGAAAGGACTGATGTCTTGGCCGCTGAAAACTCACCACCTCAACTTTGCATAGCTTCAGGAATAAAGTGTTGTTGTTGTTGGGAAATAATGCAAACGTCTTCAGCAGTTTTTCAAGGTCTTCATCATCTTCTTGTTCAAAGCAACTGGCACGATGATACCCAATTAAAAATAGCTAACATAATTGAGTCACCTCCACCATTAAACTGCGCTCTTTAGCCGTCTAGACCCTCCTGCACACAACCATCACCATTGCGAGGACACTTCCGTAGACGATATTGATAATTCCTTCAGACAGCTGTTTCGCTAATACATAGCTCATCAGTGAAGGTACATGTAGATCAGGGGCATAGGCAGGGCGGGGCGGGGCGGGGGGGGGGGGCTTTGGCACCCAAAGCACCCCCTCAAAAATTTCGATCTTGGTTCACAGCTAGGGTCCAGCGGATAATGCTCCGAAAATACTCGTATAATGCTTATCATAATGCTCCAAAAAAACTACCTTGTAATGCTGATTATAATGCTTCAAGAAGGGCTAAATGCTCTTGGTTTGGAACAATCAAGCTGTCGATTTGTGACCCAAAAGTCAGATGCTCGTCAATGACAATGCCAAGATAGCGTGGGACTGCGCTCGAAGTACATGGACGCCGTCAATGACGACACTGGCGGAACCAGGCACTGCTGTTGTCTTTCTGTGAGGGAGGAGGAACTTCGTTTTTGCTAAAGGAAAAAGAAGTTAAGAGAAGTGCAAAGCAGAGCTGGAGTGCAGCCGCCCGATAGCGGACTGAAAACTACTAGTAAGAGGATGAAAAGAGCACAGACGAAACCAATACAGACAAAACCAGAGGCAAATGGTATCAAATGCGAATGCCTGCCTCAGCAACCGCCAAGGTGGGAGGTGAGTCCAACTGCACCGGCCGAAGATTCCGGGATCCGCGCAAACACATCACGCTGGACCGGAGTAGGGCAAAACTCAATTTGCATCGAACCCAAGACATAACACAGCTGTATGCTTCTCCAGTCTTCGCGGCTTGAAGTGAAGCTATCCGCTTGTAGAGCGACTCCGCGTGTTTGCCCAAACCACCAGTGGTAGAGAATATGGCCGGAACAAACGACGAATGCTCTATGTCGCGGACACGTTGCTCGTAGCAGCGCCGCTTCTCCTTCTCGTGTTTGGTGCAGCAGGAAGCAATGGAGGTGGCGCGGTTTGAGGTCGCATGAGGTTTGAAAACCCTCACATCGATGAAGGTGCGCCCAAACCGGCCACCCCAGATGCCACTTGCCGCAACGTCGAGACGGGCCTGCTCAGTCTGGATAGCGGTGCGATACCGGAACTGCTTCCCAGTGACCGGCTGCATTCGTTTTTGCTGGGTTCAGCGTCATGTGCTTCCCTTTCAGGTAGGCAGACAGCTTGAGCAGATCTCCGTTCAACGTTCCTATGACTTCCTAGCAGAGTCACCAGCTGCATACATATTCACATCATCCGCAAACTACAGAACTGTGGAGCTGTTGACGCATGACGGAAGACCACTAGGCCCAGACAGATCCTGCCGCCAATTCTTTCGGCAAAATATCGAAGGATTGAAAGAGTGGAAATTGCCGGCAAAATCGGAGCAAAATATCGAGATGTTGGGTAAAATACCCCGTCAACCAAACTGGACAATGCAACACAATTATTGTGGAAAGGTCACAACAATAAGAGACAAGATCAAAAGGAAAGCTTTACAATAATAATAATAATAAAAACGTAGCCTGTAAATTGTAAAAAGTCACTGAGTACAGTTTAATTCAATATCCATGTCCAGTATTTATAATATAAATAATCTGCTGCAATTTATAGATTCTCACATGCGAGCAACCTGGGCCTCAGCAACAACCAGCTCAGCAGACTCCGGATGCCGAACCGATCGCTCACGGAAAAGACCCCGTGAACCCCGCAAACACATGATGCATGATCGCAACAGGGCAAATGAGAGACGGCATCTGATGTAAGATATTACGTGGGAGTACTGCTCCTTCCTCCTTTCCGCTCTCAATAACGCGATTCGGCGATAGAGTGATGTCGCCGCTCTTCCCATGCCACTACTTGCCGACAGCACAACAGGCATGAGCGTCGCATGCTCCACCTCTCTCACTCTCTCTTCATAACATCGTCGCTTTTCTTTTTCATGGCGCCGATAGACAGTGGTGTGTGGTGCAGATCGATTTGAGCGTGCATGAGGATTAAAAACCCGTATATCAAGTAAGTACGCTCAAAACGACTGCCCCACAAACCACTGACCGCTACATCAAGCCGCGCATGCTCCTCCACAATAGCAGACCTGTATCTCATTCTCTCTCCAGTGAGTGGCTGCAGCAGTGGCTCAATGGAGACATTGTGACAGGTCTCTTGAAGGAGAGAGGCTGTCACATCCCGGATCTCATTATGGCGGGTAATGGTAAACCCACCAAGGGGACATGACAAGGCATGGTCAACACCATTGTCCCGTC